ACACTAAATGTGAGGCTATGTTATATAAACAGGGAGAAGTGTAATTAATGAAATTATTGTTTTAGTCAACATGGCTGCAGAATGAGAAAGACTCATTACAGTGCAATGCACAAAAGTATGACCATATTTAATGTATTTGGCTTTTACCTGCCAAACTAGCTTTTACACACCTGTKCATTTGGTAAACCAACAAACTTCCCATCAAAGTAAATGGCTTGAACCCAGGTGTGGAAGTTTGGTATGAAATGTGATCGTCTCATTTTCTCACTGGACTCTGAAGATGACTTCCACTCAGGTTGTTGAAATGGCAGTCACCACCAACAACAGTCTTTCTCAAGACAACAGCATACACTCAACTGGACAATCACATTTCACACTAAACTTCCCAACAAAATGCGTAATTTGAAAGCCAGTGCATTATTAAATGTATAAGATCTTCACATTATCACCGGTCATACTTTTGCACATTGCACTGTAAGAAAAACTTGGGGATTAAGAAGGTAAGATAAGAAATCTAGAGATTTCTTTAGAGATAGTTGAACATGAAATGCTGCTGATACAGGGATAAATGGAAAACATGTTGAACTACAGGGACAATACAGTATACTCACACTTATCTGGTCTTCAGTGAAAACTCTGTCTATATATCTTTGTATAAGAGATGTTTTTCCAACACTTGATTCCCCTAATATGACTATCTTCAAATCCCTAAATAAAGTATTGGTATAATGTATTGTATTTCAGTTAATATATATGCAGCCCATTGAGGTTGAAAGTCCAATCAACAACTCAATAGATCTGGCTGAACTGACAATTTGGCTATTTTACATTTCCTAGGGGAGCATGTAATGTCATTAGAGAATGATTATAACTAATATATAACATGATTTGGTTAAGTTTCATTTGTTATGTTGATAAACAATATTGTCGTTACCACGCACGTATTGTGTCCTGGCACTTATCTTCATGTGAAAGAATACATATTGTCACCTCTCATATATTAATAGCCATTTGAAAAAATCAATTGTTTGGTCATTACAGCCTTGGATATTAATGCGTGCATTCATATCTAACTTACGCTTTCTTCTTGGGAGTAGTTTTCTGCATTTTAACAGTCTTTTAATCTCTGTCTTTGCATGATCTTATAGATCTTTGGAACTTTTGCAATTCCTTAAAAATAGCAAAACGAACAATGTATCAGTTCTCTCTATTAATCAGGATTTAACTATTGCAACAAAATAAATTGTTTTAATTCCCTGATCCCATTATCTTGTCACTTATTTTAGTTTCCTTCGTTTAGGTGGTCTTTACTATCATTATCTTTCTCCAGGAAACTCAAAAGATCGAGAAACGTAACCACAGCACACTTTCTGTCCCAGGCATCAACTACCATGTCACAATTGAGGTTGAGAAAGATTTACGACAAGCCATGAAACTACATGTAGCTAGGTGATCATGTAATTAGCCAATCAGAAGTCAGGATTCACACAACTTGCAGTAATTTGGGGGGTGGGGATGGGAAAAATACACAGCATAGCTTTTCATCCCATTTCGCAGTAAATGGCACCTGCCTATCTTTCTGACTTAGTGAAGCA